ACAATATAATATGTTTCTTATATAACTGGTCTGCCATAACCTAAATAAGCCGTATTTATACTTAATAGCCTCAAACTATTCCTAGTTTTGACTGCAATGAATATTATTGACAATAATTTATTGAAATGCTTACTATGTTATACATTGTAGTGTCGAATACCTGTTCTCTGTTTGTCACTAAACAACTTTCAAAAATCAAAAGTGAGTGAAAATATGTGTTACTTTACAAAGTGTTTGTTTTGTCACTCAAATGTTATTCATTATAATGTGCTTTATAGTTATTTTATTAATAATATAGTTAACATAGAATAAAACCATATTTATATAGTTTAAATAAAGTTATTTAGTCATTTAAATTTATTATTACGACGTATATTACAAATTTAATTAATTAGTTATAAATAATAATGGATTCAAATCAAAAGTATGCCATTATTTTATTATTTCTTGTTATAAAATATGTAGTAAAAGATTCTGTATATACTTTATTATATACAATATATATACGGCTGTATTATTAATTTGTTTAATTCATTATTAAAAATGTTGACAAATTATATTTGCATTTATATTAAATTTAATAATAAAAATCATTTTTCAACAGTTGTCTATCAATTGACGAACTAATCGATTCTCAGCTGAATATATTGACCACAATTTTTGAGAGCAATGATTTTGAATCAGTGATCACACAAACGGATCCATACATTAACACCAGTGTCTTTCACAGCGGATTAAAAACAAAAATATGTTTGCTTAAAGCAGGTCTTACTCTAGACGAGGTAATTTTTAATCTGACTCCATTATATACGAATTTATACTTACGAGTTAGATAAACTAATTTTAATTAAACGATTGTATGATTTTATAAAACTAAATAATTGTTGCAATTTTATTCCATCACAAGAATTAAATATTAATTTTATATTAAAAACTGTAATTATTTTTAGAGTGATTTAAAGACTGCTAATGAAAGCGTTTGTCAAACAATAGACTTATGTAAACGTTTGAAACGAAGGAAATTATTCCCAAACCTGAGCGCAAAGTTTGGTAAAACTTCGTGCGATAAATATACTGATGAAGAACTTCACGCAGAACTCACTTATGCTATGGTTATTGGCTGTTGTGCTGCACTCGAACTCATTCAGTGCCATAACCTCAAGAATTTAGCCAAAATTGTTTATAAAATCAGTGTTTGTATGAAATCCTTTAGGTGAATATTATTAGTAAAGTATATAATTAATTATGTAATACACTACGCTATAATATCTTAAATGTTGTTTAATTGATTAAAAATAAATAATTTCAAATATTAGATTGTGTCGAACTATATATGAGAAGAGGACAAAATGGTTGAGCAATAAGTCTCGGACTTATTTTCAATGCGGGATAAGTCTTGAGCGAGGATTTAGACATTTAATCGTCAGTTATATTCCGCCAAAAGTATTAAAAATAATCAACTTTTTGGGCTATCGAGGAGTCCGAGACATAGCCTTTCAAGAGTTAAATAGGACTGCATTTGAATGTAACACTATATACAGTATTATCTCTGAATTGGTTCTTATTATTTACTGGCTATATGTGGAAACTCATACCAGCTTTGGACCAAAAAACACACCATTTTTTCAACAACTTGTGAACACAAAATTAAGTCAATTTCCAAATGTAAGTGAATTGTAAATAAAATCAATAATTGTTAATAAATACAAATATTATATTGAATTCAATAGAGTGTTCTCTACAGATCGACAAACGCTAAATTAATGCAATTAAAGGGAGATTTGAATCATGCCATTAGTGAATACGAGACAATCATAGCTCATAATAAACAAATGTTTCATAAATTATTACATTTTGAGCTCATGTTCTGCTACGCTGTGCGATGTGAATGGTATGACGCGGTCAGATATGCTGAACTCCTATCTAAACATACAGTCCACTCGCCGGCAATTACTACATATTTAGAGGCCATATTTCGGTACACAAAGGCCACCGACACTAATGACCGGGATCTTAAACGTGAAGTTACTTGTTTAATGGGGTGAGTACTGTATGTAACAATGATTTAATTTAATATAAAGTGTACATTTGATGTTAACTCGTGTGCCATTTGGTCGCCACCCGATAGAACTGTGCCGTCCCTAAGAATCAGATATGTGGGCAAAACGATGACATTTGAAAAAGCGGTGGTTGTCTTCTCTCAGCGATATTTCCAAAACAACGATTATATGCTTTTACCAGTCCTTGTAATACAGTATAGCTTCCGATATGTATTCAATAACTTATCAACTCGTTTGCAATTACAGGAAATTTTATATCATCTCAACTATATTTTCTTATTAAAAGATAACAAATTACTTCTTAAAGAATGGATGTTTAGAGTTGACAAAGAAATTGAATGCCACAGTAAAATGTTTGGTAAATTTAATTAATTTTTAGCATAACATTATGAGCATAATATTTTCATTATAAACGGTATTTGTAATATTATTTAACAGTTATTACAAGAAATGGTGACTACTATTTGACTGCACTTTTCTATAAAGGAATTATTTATAAATTAATGGGAAGTCGAATTGAAGCACAACAGTATTTTAAAGCAATTATTAACCAGTAAATATGTTTTGAACATTTATTTGACCATTTGATTAAAAATATATTTTATCTATGAATGCAAAATAGAGCCAATTGTATTGTTAAGGCAAAAGATGGCTTAATTCCACAAACATTACTTGAATTGGCATTAATTGAAATGCAAATCAATAACAAAGAAAAAGCCAAAGAATTATTAGAAAGAATATTGAAAATATATTGCGGTTATACGACAGAGAATTTACTTCACATTAAAGTGTATTCGGCCCTCAGAGACCTCGGATGTAATACTGATAAAGTGTCCGATCATCTAGGTTATTAATTTTGCATTTCACATAAATTTCATAATTTTATACTCACTTTTTTGGTTTCTATATTTCAGATGACGAATACAACGATCATAATGAATTAAACAATTAGACAAATTTATCGATCGAGAAAATATGCTATTATTTTATTTATAAAATTTTAAGAGCGATTTTAATTTACATGAATTAAATAATTGAAAACTGCATATTATACTAATTATATAATAAATTTTAATTACAAAACAGCAGTGTTTTTTTTTGTAAATAATATTAAGAATTTATATATTTATGAGTTATTTGGGTAGTTTAGTTAATTCGGAAACTCTTCGGGCGTATTCTTCGGCTATAAAAATAATTACTGTTTTATTGTTATTTATTATAATAAATGGAAATCACTTTTCTTAATTTTACATTTAATCTATTTGAATTCTACATTCTACAATTCTGCATTTGGATTTTACTTTAATAAATCAGAATAACTATAACATTTTATTATTTATGTAAATTGCAGCTTCAAATTCAGTAATAAATATTTGGTGATTGTATTGATTAACAATTCTGATTAATACACTGAGTAAATAAATAAATTTAACTTGTAAGACATGCCAAAATTAATATTAAAAGTGATTTCCGTTTTAAAATATTAAAATATTTATACTTATAATAAATTTTGATATATATTTATCATCATTTTGTCTGTAATTTGATTGAATCTCTTTAAGCGCTGATTTCACTCTAATTCTCATGAAATGGCGATTAATATATCCGTTATAATGTTTAATGGATTTATTAAAATATTTTTTAGCATCTTTTCTGTTATCCATTAACTTTTGAATAAAAGCCAATTCCATAAGTGTTTGAGACTTTAAGTTACTTTTCCGGTTATTTTTATTAATCCTGATAAAAGGACAAAGTTCAATGTAAATTGGTAAAATGCCAAAAATTTTATATTAATTTTTTTTATTTATTTTTAATTTGCGAAATTAATTATCATTGTGAGCATAATTTAAAATGATATAAATTATGTGCAGTAATTACGTTAATCAATATAAAAAACGTGCATAAATGTTACTAAATTTCTTAATTTTGATATAACTTTTACCCATGATGTCAGATTTGGGAAATATTTTCAGATTTCAATTCCTCTCATCCATACCTTTCCATTGATATACAATATGACATACTTAATCATAAAATAAAAGATTTGATATTCGAATTTTCCCCGATAAAAGTGGTCACTGCGGCTAACCCCGAGGTCGTCTGGCCAAATAAAATATACCACCGTACTTCTTACAAAGTGTACTTTCGATTTATAACAATAATTCCCGGGTGCACTCTGGGCATTATTTGAACATTATTATTTACAATTATTATTTTTGGTAATAAAATAATTTATCAATTATTAATATTACAATTTTCAATAAATAAACACACAATTTAAATACTAACTCATTAAGAATAGCATTGAAACAATGTTGGGCTTCAATGAATCTATTCATATGTTTAAGAAGTACTCCTTTATAAAATAGCGAATCCAAATAATAGCCAACATTAAGTATATTATCTGCAATAGTTTTATTATATTGTATTGTAGATAATTGTAGTTTTTAAAATGTTTTGTTAAGTCAATACAAACCCAAATTTTTAAGATAGACTTTCATTTCTTCTTCAACAATAGCCATGTGTTTGTTTAGCAATACATTGTTGTCTTCAATTAAATACAACAAATTTCCATTGTATACCATTTTCTGTATTAACATTCAGGTATTAATTAGCAATTTCTGGCACTAATAAATTGTATTCCATTATATATTTTATAACTATACCATAATTGGTAAAAATAAGAACCCATTATTAGCCACATATTGTTTGGCATTCAATATGCAATTAATTTCAACTGAGGCTATTTTTGGTATGACATGTCTGTCCATCACTCTTATGGATCTTAAATGAAATATTGGTTGTTTAAAAATTTTAATATAAAGCATTATTTAATTATATTTTAAGAAAAATGTAAAATCAGTATTATACTTGTTTCAGGGTAATCATACTCACTTCATTAATCGTGTTGATTCTATTTTTAATTTCTCGTCGTTAGTCTTATAGGCTTTAAAATAAGTAAACATTGCTTCAAAATATGTGCCAATAATAGGAGAATACGTTAGTGATTGTTGTGAGAGTGATCTAGCACATCTGATACATTGGTCCCAATTACAATGTAATGCATGTATCCACATTAGTTCCCAATAAAACACTTTATGAAAGCATTGATTTTCTCGCATCAAAAGTGTCTCAAACTCGTTAATTGCTGTTTCGGTTTCGCCACTAATTTGTGTGAGTTTTGCGCGAAATGTCTCATATATTATGGACTATTATATATAAGATGTAATTAAATTCAATGATATATAATATTATATATTAGGACTTACATTAGGATTTGTATTAAAACGTTTATTGAGAATCATATCGCAAATATTGAGATTACTTTTATGACCACAACTGCTGATGGGATCCAAAAATAAGTGATACACGAGAAGAACAATTTCTGACAATCGGCTGTAAAGGCCGTACTGTTTGAATGCATTGTTTGACAGTTGATTAATTGCAATATTAATGTTGCCTTTATATCCAACAATTTTGAGCCATTTTTGTAGTTTTAGTGGTAAATAACTGATAATAAGGTGTTGAACCCCTGTTAGAAATCTAACGCCCGATTCAAAGTTAATTCGTGAAATTTCATTGTCCCAAACCGTTCTGTAATTCACCATATTTTGACACTTCCTATTCATTACAATTAATTGTATCATTTAAAAAATTGTTGACTAAACAATTTGCATAACTTACTTATATGCCTTATATGCTACGCGAAAATTCTTTACAGTTCCAACTAATTGCATCAATGTACGACATTTAAGATAACTTAATAAACAATTATAAGCCAATGCAATTGAATAATGAAGTTGGGAATGCATTTCCACTATAAGGTTTATAATTAGATTCATTAATGTAATTGTAATATAAATTAATTATTTTAAAATAAAATGTTGTTTTAAAACAGCACAATATAAAATTAAAAATGATAATTAAAAAAATTAATTGTTTTCATTAGGTAACTAGAAACATTAAATGATTAAATTATATTGTTTTAAATTAAACATATTTTTATAATTAAAAAATAATAGTAAATAAAAATTATTAGTAAAATAAAATAAACATTAATCTGAATGTTTCTCATTGAATCCAAATTAGTTTCTATAAAATATAATGTAAATCTATGGAGACATTTATAGGAATTTATAGAGCCAACATTTTTGAAAAGTGATATATTTGTCACCATAATGATAAATCCTAAAATACAAAACGTTACTTACGTTCGTTGTATTTATTATAATTTGAAAATCTAATTGATCTCAAAATCCTATTCACAAAACCTTTTCTTCTCAACGCATGACATAATTTACTTGTTTTTAGTGATGAATCCAATGCTTTATTCACATCTAACTGTAATAAAGCATTTAATGTAACTTCACAAATATTAAAAAAATATCGGATATACAATTGAATATAATTGAATAAATAAAATTTCATAATTTA